CCCTTCCCCAATTCCCCAATAGAATCTTAAAAAAAAAAAAAAAGGAAAGGCAACATCAAGTAGCGACAGGTGAGTGTCAAATCCTAGTGCTACACCTGACAAGGCGGGTTGCTATAGACAAGTTATTTAACTTCTCTTGACCTCAGTGTCCTCATGCAACAGATCTAAGGGGATCTCGCTCACCAGTCTGAGAGCAATCCATCAGCATTCCATAATTCCATAAGTATGAAAAGTGCTCAGCATGGTGGCTGTGCAAAGCGACTTCTCAACAAATGCCAGCTGCTATCATTTTGTCCCCGAGATGTTGAAAATTAAAACAGGGTATTCAGGCCAAGGAAAACAGCTAGGGGCTGGGCGCTGCCCACGCTGGGCCAGCTCAGAGCCACCTCCTGCCTCCTTGAGTCTTTCCTTTGCTTCTGTTGCCTTTCCTTTGTTCTCCTTCAGGAAATGTGATTAGTCGTGGGCAACAGGAAAGGAGGGGAAATTGGCAGAACAGAAGTCAGTTGCCCTTTCATTGGCACCTTGGTCAATGTTTCTTTCGAGAAACTCCCTCAGGGCCTCTGAGAGCCACAGGAAAGGTGGGATTTTTCCACATGTTGACAGGCAGCGGGGCTCTGCCCACTGGAAGGGAGGTCAGGGAGAGGGGATGGTGAGCAAGGAACAAGGACTCCAATTCAGAAACAGACGTCCTCTCTGCTGAAGGGTCTGGGCCAGCTGACGGAGAGACGGGTCGCCATGAAGGACTTGCAAGCATCCATTCAGAGCAAGAGAGCTGGAGGGAGGCTTCCATTTCTTGACAACAGGAGACGAAGAAGCAGACTTCAGAACCAGATTCACAACCTCGTCCCACTGCTGCGTGAAGAGAGGGCCCAAGAGGCTCCATCCGTCAACCCTGTGCCAAACTCAACTATGAGTCACCCCTAAGCCACGGGGAAAGGAAACACTCATGGGAGACACCACCTCTGAGGCTGAAAGAGACCAGTGTGTACAAAATCCTCCAACGCGAGGACCTCATTGATCCACTTCTGTCACACCGGAGCACGGATGGCCCAGTGTGAGGGACCACCCAGTGAGTGCGGGATGAGAGGAAAGGCAGGTGGACAGAGAGACATGGATAAGCTGCGGGCTGGCCTAACAGCGTGACTCAACTTTTCAGCACCTCATGCTTGCATCCCATCGGGTGTGTGCAGGGACCATGGAGTCATCCCCAAACTCTGAAACCAACGGGGGATGGAGGACACTGGCCTGACACAAAGGCGCCTTAGAGACAGAAAGGCTTCCAGGAACAAGAGGGGGAAGCGTTGTAGAGGTTAGTTGTTGCCTTGGATACGATATTGACACATCTTAACAGAGAATGGAAGGAAGGAAAACCATCTAGAAATTGAAAAAAGGTCTGATGGGAGGCTATAATGAGACAGTAATGATCCTGCGCTTAGCACAGTACCTGGTGTGCTCAATAAATGGTAGCTTTTATCATTATTAATAAGAACTGGCTCATACCTAAGAAAAAAATGGATGAGAGGATGTTCAACCTCCCCCATAAAGAAAGAAATGCAAATTTAAGCAAAAATCCGCATTGCCTTTCACCCATCCCGTTAACGGAGGTCAAAGTCCAGCGATACGGGGACGTAGGGAAACAAGCTCTCCTGCACCTCTGGTAGAAATACGGATTGCCACCACCTCTCTCAAAATGCTAGAGCGGAAGACACTCTGCTGCTGGTATCCCTCTTGTAGGGTTTTATACTGCTCATATCCTCCTGTCACAAGTTAACAAAAAGGTGTCTAAACCCAGAGGTTCCCATAGCAACAGTATTCACAAACATAACAAAGTACCAGGGACAACTCTGGGTCCATCAAGAAGGAAATGATTTCTCACCAATAAGGAAATTACACGGCCTTCATCCAAGGACAAACCACGCTTGTTACCAAAATGTCTGGCATAGCACACTGTGTGTGCTGACAGGGAACCATTCCAAGATGTACTGTTAAATGTGTTCAGGTCAAATCCACCGAATTACACGTCATCACGCCACTGTCTCATGTCTGCCCAGCCCTCATAACCATCGCTATTTAACTGGGTTCACTTCTTTATGGTCACTCTCTATCCCACCACAAAGTAAGAGCAGGAGCCATGGTGACCCCATTTCTCCCCCAGACACAGGAGGTGATCAAACGTGAGGGCCTAATTGATGAACTCCAAGTGGTCTGTGGCAGAGAAGTTGTCTCTGCAGATGGACTCAAGTTTTCCACTGGAATAAGGCTCCACACAGGTGGAGATGTTGTCACCAGCAACCCCCAGCACCTAACAGAACACCTGGCCCTTTGGAGGTTAAATCTGACCTCATAAGGACCTTTCCACACCACCAAACATGCTCCGTCCAACCCCCTTGGAACATTTAGAGAAAGAATGAAAATCGGAGTCCACAACGATCCAGAGGAAAACCATAAAAACGTGCATGAATCTTACCTGTTTCTCCTGGTTTGATCCACAGAATAGATCTGCTTTCTCAGCCAACTTGGAAGAGAGTTGAGACACAAACAAAAATGAGAGAGAGAGAGAGAAAGTCAGCAAATAGTGCAAGGCTGAGTTCTACGGGATGGGGACAAAGGAAACTGGGAAAGGTTTTCTAGCTTTCTAACTCAGAAAGAAAGCCATTTTCTCCTTGTGGTTGAAATACCCTAGCTGAGCCAGGAGGCCTCTTTCGCCCGTAGGGGCTGGCATTCTTTAAACAGATGATTCCCTTAGATGGTATCCGTTAATCCCCAAATAACTGGGAGGAAAAATGGTGGACATTGGAGGCCTTTGGTTGACTAGGAGGACAATAATTCACACAACAATCTCATCCAGACATCCACGACACTGACGAGACAGTCCTGAGTGGCACACCTTGTATCTGACTGTCCTTGGATGAGTCAGCTTAATGCCTCCCTACACCTTTTCCTCCAGTTCTTCCCCTCAAACAAAACACCAATGTATGTTTCTGTCTGTGCCAATGCACCCCTCACCCCAACAGGCCAAGGCCCCAAACCAAGAGAGGCTCTTCTGTGAGACACTGGCGAGTCCATAGCCACTACTGAGCACCTACTGCATACAAGGCACTCAATAAGCCTCCAAGACGAACGGTCCCATTTTTCTTTCCTTTGCCTATGTTGGCTAAAGGAAGCAGAAAAAAAAAAATGAACGAGGGAGCAAAAACAGAGAGAAATAGGCCAAAGCCAATACCTCTCGATAATGGTAGGTGTCGACGCGCTCATCACTTCCTGGTGTAAGATTTTCAAGCCGGAGAGCCACTTAGTTGCATCTTCCTTAGAGTCAGCTGGAGAGGTGAAGGGGAACAGAAACGCTGTGTTACTCCCTGGGAAGACCTCTGCTTCGAGACTCCGGTCCAGGCCTCCCCAGCCCCATACAGATCGTGGGGAGAGGAAAAGCCTGTGTCAGTCTGTAGTTCTGCAGGAGGGCATCAAGAATTACCATCTCCTTCCCACCATCATGATTCTAAGACCTGCTTTTTGTCTGAGATGAGGCCATGTGCCCAAAATGAGCCTTCGACAGCAAAGGCGACAAAGAGGCGATTTTTTCAAAGCGATTTCGCTTTTAACCCTCTGCTAACGAGTAAGATGCAGGGTGAGAAGTAACCTGTACCACAGACCTGAGCAGCCCTCAGCATTTCCCGTTTCCAACCAAGGCCAGAGAGAGGGGTAGAAAGCAGGTACTGCTGACGCCCACGAGTGAAGCGGCAACACGCGGTGGTTAAGAGCTTGGCATCATCACCACGTCCCCCTGTACCACTTCAGGGTTGGGTGACATTCAGCTGGGTACTAAACGCTTTTGTGTCTCATTTCCTCCTCAGCGACATGGAGCTAGCAATGCAAACACCTCGTCAAGTTATTAAATGTCTAACCACCAGGTATCTTGTTAGTCCAGACAGGACCACGTCAACGTTGCTGCTTTCATTCTTCCCATGCAGATGAGGAGACAGACAAGGCTCAAAGGGTTAAGGGTCCTGTTCCAGAGCCAGTAAAAGAAGCCGGGATCTGAATCCATGTCTTGCCCACCTCTCTACCTGACCTGCAATTCCAGAGCTCTAGGAAGAGGAACCCCAGAGTGGGACAGACACCAAAGCTGGCATCTGGTGCTCCGAATCTTGCTTGGGCTCTCATGGTCTCCCTCCCAAGAACCACAGCCAGGCCGCGGCCTACAGTGGGGCTAAGCGGACACAGCTCTCGAGGTGCATGGTCATGAGCTCCTTTCTCTCCAGCCCCCTCTCTGCCACCTGCCACACACCGTCAATCATACGTGCACTCATATGTCCCACATCCAGCTTGCTATTTCCCTCCTCCAAGCCCTCGCACATGCAATGTCCTTTCCTTGGACCATCTCCTCTCTTTCCTCCTAACTCCTACTGATGCCTCAATACCCCGCTTAAAAGTCACCTCCTCTGCAAAGCGTTCCCTGGATGCAGGCATGCTGTACTCCTCAGCACAGTGCATTATGCATGGACTGCTGTTCTTATCACAGCGTACTCTTAAGTTCCTGTCCACAGACCTATCTCCCAAGTGGACTGTGAACTCCTTGTAGGCAGCAACTGGGTCTTATCCACCTTTGCAGCCCCACCGACATCTGGCACAACCTAGCTCAGAGCATCTGCTCAAAAGATGCCTGATGAAAGAATGAATGAGAAATTAAATCAATGAGAGCTATCAGACCCTAAATGAAATGTCCCTAAGGCAGCTCATCTTTCAGTTTCCCCCCACGTTGGTCTATTTTTAATGGTATTTATTTTCTCGCCTATCAGTCATGATTGTGCACATGGTTCTAAGTCAATAAATTCTAGGATTGGACCTGAAGGGAGCTCCAAGCTTCTGCCCCCGAGTAAAATGCCTAAGCTTTTTCATAGCTCTTCTTCTGGCCTCTCAGAGGTGTCTTTAGCTTTTTGGTGGGTTTACAGGGATGAACAGAAATCTCAGCTCCAGATATGTGTCTATGTGTGTGTGCACATGTGCATGTGTGTATGTGTGTGCCTATGTGTGCATGTGTATGTATGTGTCTCTCTATTGTGTGTGTGCATGCATGTTTACATGTGTGAGATACAAGAGTTCAAGAGAGTTCCTTCAGTTCAGTCAAGTTGAATAAATGGTGTAGGCCAGCCTCTGTTGGCCAACAATGTAACCTGCCTTTAGCTCTCAGCATGAGCCAGGCAGGCCCCTAACAGAATCCTGACAACATCCCAAAGAGGTCAGCATTATGATTTTTCCCATTTCACAGGTGAGCAAACTGCAGCTCAGAGAGGTCGAGTAGCTTGCCCAAAGTAACACAGCTAGAAAGGGGCAGGGTTAGGATTCAAAACCATGATGCCCCCAAACATGCATTAGTGGGCAGGCAGGCGTGAGCATCCTACTACTAGAAAACGTCCTAGGGAGGAAACTGAGGCACAAGGAGGATGAAAAAGCACCCAGATGTGCACCTACCTGCTAAACTGAGTGTGCTGAGGATGAACTGGTTGCCATACAAGATGGTAAAACAGCAGTCTTCCTTCTGGCGGACTGCCTTTGCACGCTCAAAATCCTTGGAGTTCTTCCCTGGGCGGATTTCCTTTATTTCCATGATATCCACTGAAAGAAAATTAACATGAGCCAATTAGAAGCTGAGTTCACCCCCCCCCCACCCTAAGGATGCAGCCACATGCCTGCACTCCAGACACACAGCCAGGGCCTTCATTCCCCCAATGAAGGTGAGCTGTCTGTCCCAGCCCCTCAGCCCCGCCCAAATCACAGGATTACCGTATTTCCCCACGTATAAGACGCACCCTTTTTTGAAAAATTTGGGGCGTAAAAACTGGGTGCGTCTCATACAGTGGTTGTAGATCATTGTCAAGTCATTTAAGAAGTGTGGCATTTCAAATGCCATAGATGGAACTGAGGACGAGGCAATATATGAAGACAGTGATTCGTCATCAGACACAGATGAGGACAAGCTCATGGTTGGGAGTTTTGACAGTGATGGGGAGTTGTATGAATTTTATGATGAATAAAACTTGAGTTCAATAACTTTATGTCATACATTATTTTTTCAAATTTCAGGCCCCAAAATTAAGGTGCGTCTTATACATGGGAGCGTCTTCTATATGGGGAAATATGGTATATGCAAATAAATAAAATGCTTGTCGTTTTAAGGCACTAAGTACTGGAATAGTTGTACAGCAATAGACAGCAGAAACAAAGAGGAAATCCATCCTGACCCAAGCAAGGGAGACCCCCTCTTGCCATTGGATGACCAGTGCACTGTCACAAAGAGACAAACTCAACCATTCCTTTCCTCTAACTTCCTCTGTCAAAAGAGCACCTTTTCCTGGGCTGGACCCATTCCACATGCTTCAGATGAAACTGACCTGCCCCTCCCTCCTGACCTCCCACCACAATAAGCCGAAGACGGGTGCAAGGGTCCTAGGAATGACCAAGGTGCCCACCCCTGGCATAGTGGCTGGTTCAGGGACAAGCACATGGCCCAAGCTGGCCCATCAACATCCTCCTGGGACTCACTTGGCCAAAGCTATTCATAAAATTTTTCCTGCTGCTGCTGCCACCTGGCTGATAAAACATGGGGGTAGCTGGGACCATGTTGCCTGCCACATAGAAAGAAAAGATTGAGCCCTGATGCACTAGTTAAACCCCTGCATCCAGCTGGGCTTGAAGCCACTTCTGCCCTGAAACGTATGACCCAATAAATTCTTTTTTTTTTAATTAGAGTTTATTGGGGTGACAATGGTTAGTAAAGTCACATAGGTTTCAAGTGTACAATTCTGTAATACATCATCTCTATATATATCCCATTGTGTGTTTACACCACCCAGTCAGCTCTCCTTCCATCACCACATATTTGACCCTGTTTACCCTCATCTACCAAATTCTTTTTTCTTAGGTTTGTATGAAATGAGTTTCTGTCCCTTGCAACCATAAGAGTCTGGGTACATACATCTCAGTGCTTGCATTGAACAGAGAAACAGAAAAGAGAGGTATTCCTGGAAAAAAGAGGGTAAGGAAGGAGATCTCAGCTCTGACCTGAGATCAAGGAAGACGACAGACGAGCCTAGACAGGTGAACAAAGGCACTGTAGAGTCAGGGTTGAGAGCAGGAAAGGTTCATGGCCATTCAGAGGTAGCAGCAGGAATGAGGATGCAGAGAACGAAATCATAGGAGAGAGGATGAAATGAACTGAACGTTTTCTGCTTTTTTTACCAGGGTCTAGCTAGATTGGAAACACTTTGGGGGAATCACAGTCATGAAGTAACGTGAAAAGACTTGAAACAAACACCACTTATTCTGTATCATGTGTGTCTGACAGCAGTTACACAAATCTATACATGTGATAAAATTCCATAAAACTATACACCAAAATATAAACAACAAAATAAAAAAGCAGTGCATGTAAAAAAAAACGGTGTAAAAACAATTAAGGTCTGTATTATAGTTCATAATATTGTCAAATGTCAATTTCCTGGGTTTGATAACTATGGTTATGAAAGATGTTACCACTGGGAGAAGCTGGATGAACGGTGCCCATTCTGTACTATTTCTGCAATGTCTGCATGAATCTAAAATTGTTTCAGGGCCAGCTGAGTGGCTCATTGGTTAAGAGCATGAGTTCTGAGCAACAGGGTTGCCGGCTCGATTCCCACATGGGCCAGTGAGCTGCACCCGAGCTGAGCTGCCGCTGAGCTGCCAACAGGTGGCAGGATGGCTCAGCTGGTGAGAGCACCTGATCCTAACAAGGTTGCCGGTTCGACTCCCGCATGGGATGGTGGGCTACGCCCACCTGCAACTAAGACTGAACACAGCACCTTGAGCTGAGCTGCTGACAGGTGGCCAGATGGTGACTGGACGTGGAGCTGAGCTAGCTGCACCCTCCACAGCTAAGACTGAAGAACAACAACTTGGCTGTTCCCCTTCCCCCAATTCCCCAAATAAAACCTTAAAAAATAAATAAATAAATAATTTGTTTTGAAATAAAAAGTTTTAAAAACTATTTATCAGCTATGGGTGGCCCTATTATTAGGAGGAGAGTGGTGTCTATAAACCTTGGGCAGGTAGAGGGGTGGGGGGTGTTAACCCCAGTTTTCACCCAACCCTGAAACCTGGGAGTCTTATCTCTTCTCATTATCGTCAGTCCTCAAAAATAAAGAGCAAAACACAGATCCTTTGTGTGCTCTGAAATTCATAACCTTCTAGGAGGAAATGAGCATTGTTGATTTAACTGCTTTTGCAGTTATCTAAGAACATGAACGGTATTAAGGTTTGTTCTCAGAAATTAGTTACTCACCCATCCAGTTGACTGCCAGTCAAGAGTCTAGTGACGCGAAGCAAATACTTTTTTTCTTATCTAGTCAACCAATGATTATCTAATCAGTCTCTTTCCCCATAAAATATCTCCAAGAGATAACCTTTAAATTAGCCTACTGTAAGCTTTTTTCCTTGCAGCCAAATTATAATAAAAATTTGACACATGTATGAAACTAAAAAAATTTTTGGATAATGTAACACTGTCTTCAGACAATCACCAAGTCTTATCAATTTTACTTTCAAAACTGCTCTTGAATCTGCCAACTTCTATCCATGTCCATGGCCAACACCATAATCCAAGCCACTGTTATCTCTTGCTTGTTGTACTAAAATAGCCAGAAGTTACCGCCGGCGCCATCTTTATGAAATGCAGACATGCTGGTGCCACTCCTAGGCTTCAAACCTTCCGATGGTGTCCCAATGCTGTTAGGACTAAGCACCAAAGCCCAGTGTTGACTCCTGTATGCCCTCAATCTCCATGCTCCAGCCACACTTGTCCAATCTCAGAACCTCCAGTGGGTCACGCTCACACTCACCGTAAGTCTTTAGCACATGCTGTTGGCTCTGCTAAGAATGCTCTTAGCTTGGTTAACTCCAAGTTCTCCCTTTCTGTTTCAGCTTCATCACCATCAAACACAGGAAAAACTCCAGCTCCTGCTGTTGGACAGACCAAGCCCGTCTCCCCAACAGCAATGACCACAGGCAAATGCTCACTGGTGTGAATCGTAGATTCAGAGTCTTTCCCTAGGTGGTGCTCCTTTCCTCACCACTGTCTCCCCACTCCAAGCAGAGAGGGTGGTGTACTGTGGAGCCCAAGAAATAGTTGTTGAAAGGGAAAGGGGACAGAGAGAGAGAGAGGGACAAAACTGGAAATGGGGCTGAGGGGGAGACACAGACATACACACACAGATATGAACAAACACAAATGGAGACACCCAAACAGGGTGAAAGAGGAACACAGACACCAGACATGACCAGAGGACAAGCCACCCTGACAAGGAGAGAGGTGCAAACATGCACGCATACCAAGTCAGAAAGAGAGAAAGAAACATGGGAGACAGAAAAGAGGATGAAATATAAACATGCCACTCTAACGATACAAACATCCCTCATCACCCATACACCGCCTTTCACTTCAGCATAAGCAAGCATCCTTCGGAGGCCAGCCCTGTCCCAGACAGGGCTGCAGGTATCCATCTTCCTCAGCCAGGACTGGTCACTTCCATTACGTCATCCCGACCACTTCCCTCTTTCTTCTCCCCAGATAACTATTGGCTTATTCATACTTCTGGAAAGACTATGCTTTCTTCATTGAATTGCCTTTGCCCCTTTGTCAAAGATTAGTTAACTATACAGTAATACCTTGTTTTGCGAGTATAATTCGTTCCGGAAACAAACTACTCGTATTGCAAGACATCGCTCGTTGACCACGTTAAAAATGTATTGGAAATGTTTGCTCATCTTGTGGAACACTTGCAAACCACGTTACTCGCAATCCAAGATTTTATTTTATTTGTGTTGGGTCTATTTCTGGGCTCTCTACTCTGTTCTACTGATTGATTTGCTTATTCTTTCCCTAACACCACTCTGTATTGATAACTATTTCGTAGCTTTATAGTAAGTTTCAAAGTAGAATAGCATCAGTCCTCTGATTTCATTCTTCTTCTTCAATACTGTGTTGGACATTCTGGGCCTTTTGCCTGTCTCTATAAACGTTAGGGTCAGTTTGTCAATACCTACAGAATAACTTGCTGGAATTATCATTGGGGTTGTGTTGAATCTATAGATCAAGTTGGCAAGAACTGATGTTGAATCTTCCTATCTATGAACATGGACTAGCTGCTATTCATCACACTTTTAACTGTTAGCCCAACATTCTACTGGATGTACTTACTTGGTCCTGGCCTTCAAGAGTCTTACAGACACATCAGTGTCATCCATGAGGATAAAAATAAAGGCAATAAGAATCATGTAAAACTCTTACTATGTGCCAAGCACAGGACTAATGCTTTCCACGCTGTTGTTGGCCAGTTGCCTGGAAGCTGAGCCTGAGGTAGGGGTTCTTGTTCAGGTGTTTATTGGGGGGATGGAGGGCGCTCAAAGGAGAAGGGAGTACAGGAGCAGGATGGGGCGGGAGAAGAAAGCTAAACTAGGCAGTGGTCCCAGTGGAGTATGGTCTTCACACTGGTCTCCTGGGGGCTCTGGGGCATGGATCACACTGGCTAAGTGACTTCTCCTGGAGGCAGGGAGGCTGGCCTCTGTCCTCCCCGCCTCCA